TTATTTTAACTATGGAGAACATAGCAAAGAAATTCACTCAGGGGGAATCTGCTCACTTGATAGATTTCAGCAATAACAATTTCTAAGCAAGATGACATGAAAATTACCATGGGGTGAGGGAGGAGGCTGCAATTTGCTGAATGACCTGACTCCCTAAAACAGTGATGGCTAACCTGCCGTCGCGTCTCAAAAGTGGGGGGAGCGCAGAAGGGTTGCGCACACGCATGCCCACACCCATAATACAATGCGACCCGCCCGCCACGCATGTGCACATGAACCCCCTGTGCTCCCCCTGCTTTTGGCACACAATGGCACGGTGGGCCCAGTAGGCCCGTTTTGCACCCTCCCCAGGCTCGAGGCTTTTTTGGAGCCTGAGGAGGGTGAAAACGGCCTCCCCACCACCCCCTGGAGGCTGGGAACAGCCTATTTCCTGACTTCCAGTGGGCCCGGAAATCAGCTGGCTGGCGTGCGCATGCATGCTTCAGCTGAGCTAGGGCAACACTCGCATGCCCACCTATCTGGCTCGGCGTGCCATCTGTGGCACACATGCCATAGGTTTGCCATCACGACCCTAGAATACAGATAGGGAACTAAGCCCCTTTATGACTTGTGGACCTCAACTTCCAGAATTCTTGTGCCAGCGGGACTTTCACGTCTGTTCTCATGACTTTTTCATCCAATTTTTTACCTAGAAAGCATTAAAAACCTAAAAGTGGAGACTTGGGAGAGGTGGTGAAGAGACCCAAGGAAAACAAAGTTGAAGTATAATGGGAAGTTATTCCTGGTGAAGTTGGATGGATGTTGCACTTTGCTTGTGCACCTTCCACACATGTGCCTGGCCTCAAATACGTGCCTAAATAGGATGGCATAGAGCCAAGGCAGGGCGGACAGTGGGCCCACCTGTGATTTCCGCTATTGGTTCAAGCGAACTGGCTCGAACCAGCTGAATACCAGTTCTGCTTGGCACCCATGAAAATAAAATCAGTCACTACTTCCATTTCTTCCGCTTCTATCTGCAAGGAAGTGATTGGACCAGATGCCATAATCTTAAATTTTTTTTAAAAAAATGTTGAGTTTCAAGCCAAATTTTGCCTTCTCCTTTCACTCTCATCAAGAGGCTCTTTAGTTCCTCTTCATTTCTGCCATTAGACCAGGGGTGAAATCCAGCAGGTTCTGAAGAACCAGTAGCGGAAATTTTGAGTAGTTCGGAAAACCGGCAAATACCGTCTGGCTGGCCCCAGAGTGGGATGGGAATGGAGATTTTGCAATATCCTTTCTTTGGAGTGGGGAGGGAATGGGGATTTTGCAGTATCCTTCCCCTACCACGCCCACCAAACCATACCACACCCACAGAACCAGTAGTAAAAAAATTTGGATTTCACCATTACATCAGACTACTAATCAATGGGGAAGGGCTAATGAAACAGCCTTGCAGATAAACTCCTGAGGCAAGGGCTGAGATACCACAAGTAGCGTGCTTCCAATAATTCAAAAAGGTCTGGTTCTTGACTCAATTAGCATGAATCACATGCTGTCAAAGCCACAATAAAGAAAGCTGACTAGATTGGTGGCTTTCTAAACCAGGCATATTTTAGAAAGAGAGACAATTTACCGATCCAGACTCCACCAGTCTTGTCAAAAATGTCAACCTGCATCACAACGCACAACATGACTGCATCATCTCACTGCAACACCAAGTTTGTCAGTGGCTCTTCCTTAAGAATGCTGTTTAATGACTGTGTAAAGAAAACTCTTCCAGAGAAGTAGAATAGCTTTGAATTATCCATTAAAACCTAAAATAGCTTTCACTCTGCAATTTAAAGGACATGCAGTAAATGGGTATGTTCCAGTGGTGGGTTGCCCCCAGTTCGGACCGGTTCTACAGAACCAGTAGTAAAACCGGTGGGAGGCTCTGCCCACTGACCCTGACATCATCATAAGTGATCTGCGCATGCGCAGAAGCTTGGCGCGAGCGAAGCGAGTGCACACGTGCAATCCCGTCGCAAACCGGTAGTAAAGGTAAGTAGAACCCACCCCTGGTATGTTCCTCCCATTAATAGAAAGTAAAAACATAAAAATAGGTTATTGATAAACCAATTATGTCTCCCATCCAAATGAAAAGCAAAATGCATGTGAAATAGTCAACTGTTTGATGCAAGTGCTCTGCATGTGAGCAAAAAGTGGGCAAACAGCACCCTCTGAAGTCTTAACATAAAATGCAAAGCCAAAACAAAAAGCTAAAAGCAGGCACTGTGTTTGGGATTTATTTTAATTGCATAATTCATATTGGGGCAGTATCAAGCTAAGGTGTAAATCTGCTTTTGAATTCAGCAGCTCTTTAAGACGAAGCCACAGAAAAGCAACCCCACTGAACTTTGTCTAATGCATGAGGTACATACTTATGTAACTAAATCTATTTAAGTATATCCTTGGGAATGTAATTATTTAAAATTTTCCCTGCAAAGTACCATACCTATAATGAATCATTTACTTTGTTCCCACATCTAAACAAACAGCAACATCACATGCCCCGAGTAGAGGCTTTTTTATAGGTAGTCAGGAATTTCTGTTGCTAAGCAAGGCAGTTAAGTGAGTCACACCCAATTTTACCTTTTTTGCCATGGTTCTTAAGTGAATCATACAGCAATTAAGCAAATTTGGCCAAAGGCAAGCTCAAAAAAATTCGGATATTTTCAAAGTCATAAATTATCTCTAAATCCTGCCCTTTCTAACTTCAAATCCCAGCCAGTGTTCTGGAATTCTGAGACTTGAAGTACACACATTTTAAAAATTGCTAAGGAGAAACATCACATTAAAGGTAAAAGTTCCGCTCGCACATAAGTAGTTTCCGACTCTAGGGGGCAGTGCTCATCTCAGTTTCAAAGCCGAAGAGCCAGTGCTGTCCGAAGAAGTCTCCGTGGTCATGTGGCTGGCATGACTAAACACTAAAGGCATATGGAACACGGTTACCTTCCCACCAAAGGTGGCCCCTATTTTTCTACTTGTATTTTTTACGTGCTTTCGAACTGCTAGGTTGGCAGAAGCTGGGACAAATAAGGGGAGCTCACCCCATTATGTGGCACTAGGGATTCAAACCACTGAACTGCCAACTTTCGATCGACAAGCTCAACATCTTAGCCACTGAGCCCCGCGCCCCTTAACATCACATTAGGTGAGCTTTAAACACTGATGTAAATGTTAATCATGACCTACCTTAAGAGGGGTGAAATCTTGTGAAGGAGTGCTAAATTTTCCATATTTAAATAACATCTACTTATATACAAGATGATAATTTTGAAAGCAATAGTTAACTGTGAACATTAGCATCAGATAGAGAAGGAAACTTTTCAGCTGTCTACCCTGATGTCAAAACTTTTCCAAAGATCCCTGGATTTACAAAGCATAAGGGAGCCAATAGCCAAGAGACAAAGACAACTGGGTATTTTATGACTTGGAAGATCACAAATTTGATGTCTATGTGATAACTAAAAATTAAGTTGTGTTGCCGTGCAGGTTTTTGTATACTGTATTATTAAACCATTTTTGTCTTCCTATCAAAATTTAAATTATATAAAGGGAAAACCGTCATTATAGAATGGTTTTAGAATTGTAAAAACAAGTTTGCTGCTTCACTAAGGATGCATTTAACATTCAGTCCAATGCCTGGCTCATCCTATAATCCAGGGGTCCCTGACCCCTGAACCAGCTCCAGGCCATGGCATGCCAGAAACTGGGCAGCGCAAACCAGCCCCATCCCTAGGATGCAGGCAGCACATGAACCCACACCCTCTCCAGTCCATGGAAAAACGTTTCTGTGGAACGTTTGGTGCCCAAAAGGTTGGGAGCCGCTATAATCCATTCTTGATGGCATTGGCTGCATCTATGTAAAAACACACTTATTTTGCCAGCTTCTTTGTGAACATGAATAGCAATTAAGCTCCAATCGTCCTCATACTCAGAGGGCTGTTTAGATCTACACTCTCAGCAAAAACGTACCATTTTACCCAGTGCAGCATCTCAGACTGCAAAGAAGCACATGCGTTCTTCTAGGAACACAAATAGCACCTACTTTGGTTATCTGCCATGTCTAATGTTGCAGTCCGGCTTATACACATCAGAAGAAAAATTCTCTCAAGGCACCTGGGCAAACTGACATCTGTCTTTAAGCTGCCCAAAGTCATATATTAGATGGGCAGCTATATAAATTGGAATAAATTTATCCCCAAATTTATTAAAAATAAATCCCAACCTTAACTGTCAATGATCTTACATCAGGACACCATTTCAGCTTAATATGCAAATACTGTCATTTTGACATTCTTCCTGCAAAGTTCTCAGGTTACAAGTTATCTGTGTTGTATAACCCAAGAGCTCATCTTATCAGCGATTCAGATGCTGAACTGGCATTGGAGAGATCCAGATTCTAGCCCCCTTTCTTCAGCAGCTCAATGGGTGACTTTGGGCCAATCATTCTCAGTCCAACCTACAACACTGGGGGGAAATGAGAGAAAGCACTATGTATGGTGTCTTGCTGGGAAAGATTGAGGGCAAAAGAAGAATGGGACAGAGAACGAGGTGGCTGGATGGAGTCACTGAAGCAGTCGGCGTGAGCTTAAATGGACTCCAGAGGATGGTAGAGGACAGGAAGGCCTAGAGGAATGTTGCCCATGGGGTCGTGATGGGTCGGACACGACTTCACAACTAACAACAACAATGGTGTCTTGAGCTCTTGGATGAAAAAGATATCTAACAAATTTAAGAAATGTGGGATCATAGCTTAAATATCAACCTACTTTTAACTCAATTGTTCCAAGGTTCTGCTACTTGATGATGTCATACTACAGTACAAACTGTCCTACCAAGATACATCCTTTGTTAATTATCCCAGCAAACAACTACAGCCCCTGCTCATACGGGGCCATCTCTGAATGTATGAACTGGGAGCCTGCCTCAGCAGAGAGAAAAAAACTGAGTTTGTTCTCTATTGAAGACTTACACCGTTTAATGTTGCTATAGTGCAAATTATTTATTGAGCATCAACATTGAATTCAAATTAACTTCCAGGCAACATACTGCTCGTAAACATCACACGGCAGTCGAGAATCTGTTTTAAAAAAAGGGAAAAAATGTTCAGAATGAGTTTAAGGTAGCAGAAATGACTAAAAACCCTAAGTACTTTCCACCAACAACTTACTGTATTTTTTGGATTATAAAACACATTTTGTCTCCCAAAAGGGGGTGAAAATGTCTGTGCGTCTTATAGACTGAATATTGCTGAAGCCCCGCCTGCCCACCATTTTTTGGCCTCTGCATACCCTGTTTTCAGGCCCATTTTCGAGGCTTTTTGGGGCCTGTTTTCGAGAGTTTTTTCGGCCTGTTTTTTCTGAGTGAGGGCAGGAAGCTGCCCACATTAGTAGTGCAGTTAGTTTGTTCGTATGACCAAGGTTGTAATCAAGGGCTCTGTAACATAGCAAGAAATGAACTGTGGAATTTAGGGACAGTTCGCAGACAAATCTCAGGGAGAGCAAGCTCCTGTGTAACATTAATCTTTTTCAGATATAGGGATTTTTTATAGAAGATTGCAACACCACCCCCTCTACGATTTTCACGGTCAGACCACAAAACGTGATAATCACTTACTGTAATAATGGAGTCTGGAAAGGATACATTTAACCACATCTCAGACAAAAATAAGGTCGAATACAGTTGCATTTAGTAGCAGGAGGAATTCGGGTATTTTGTATGTGAGGCTTCTTGCATTAAGTAGCTTGCATTTGAGGTCAGTAGGGGTTGACCTGGAGGAAGTTGGGGGCATGCATTCCTAGTTCTGGTTGTTGGGGGCAATTGTTGAGACGCAGGATCTGGTCTTGTGTTTGATGCAGTTACCGCGGTAGTCTATGTACAGGTTAATCTCTCCTTGGTCCTGGCGTCTTTTGAGCTCAGAGCGGAGCTCGCAGGCGCAGGCATGTTGTAGGATGAACAGGTCGGGCCGTGAACGAAGTTTCTTATGGTTTGTGCAGCTTTTGGTGAGGGAGTTTACTGTGGAGATGAATTTACGTTTGCTGGCTTCACTTTTGCAAATGACTCTGCAGAAGCGTGGGGCCACCGAGCCATCACTGTTCTTGAAGTCAGGGCCATCACGGGAAATGTTGATGATTTCATCGGGAGAGATGGTTGATGCCTGGAAGTTGTTGATTATGGACCAGTAAGAGAAAAGGCACCATTATCTGTATCAAATGAGATATGGTAGCCCATCATACATACAGTGGATACTTTAAAGATATAATATATACTGTTCCATAGTAATTCTATAAAAAAGGTATGAATGCACACATTTGTATGCTAAGTAAAACAAACCTTTCTGGACCAGCAATCCCAGAAAAATGTGATGCAGCTTCTTTCATCACCAGTGCCAACCACCACTCTCCTGAAAAATAAACCACATGAATTAAGATTTCCTTCTGGCTTCAAATATAAAAAAGTGCAACATTAAGACTTGGACATCAGTGGAATCAGGCTATTTGGCTAGAACACATGCTTGATCAGCATAGTCGATATGATGGGGAAAAAAGAAATAGTCATCATGTACCACTGAGCTACACGTTTTGCAGTCCTTTTGTCTTAGAGTACCTGGACTTTCAAGCACGCTTGATAGGAGACTATCACATAGAATATCTATTATCTTTTGATTCCTTCAATTACAGTCTGATTAAGTTCTGTGGCAGTTTTAAAAACTATACAAATCTGGCAATTGCAATCAAACTCTTAGTCAAAGTATTAATTTTATAATTGAGGTTATTTTACATGCAACACTGCACCAGTTTAGCACAATATGAGCCCCAGGCTCATTTCTTACCCTTTTTCTTATGAGTCAATGAAAGCTTTGTTTTCAACGAATGCCCAATGCAAGCTTACACAAATTCTAAGCAGTTTAAATCAGGAGTGGAGAATTTCCCAGGTACTGCTCATACTGACTAGAGCTAATGAGTAAAAGCCCAAGCATCTGGAATACATCACATTGCCAAAACAATGGGCAGTTCAAACAAGCCACAACCAAACTCTGGCTTGTATCCTTCTCCATTCACTGATACAGTTCTCAGCGGAGAGAACTAAAGAAAAATGCTGAATAATTAATGATTTCCTAGGAACTGCCTTTTCAGTCAATTTGCAACAAATGTGTGCACCTGAGCCAGCTTTATGAACAGATTTTATCAATCTCAACTAGAATTTCTAAGTTCTTTCCACTCACTTTTTCTCAAAAGTGCATTGAACCATTGAGAGTGTTAAGAATTTGAGTTCAACTTGAAGCTTTTAATGCCTCTCATTCTTTAACTGCAAAAAAAAGTAATGCAGCTTTTCCAAAACCTTTAAAACAAGGTTGACCAGATAATTCATATGCTGCACATTTTACAGTCTTTATCTGTAAAGTTGTGTTCTCCCATGAGGTCCTGGAAGAGGCAGAATTTGCTATAGAATATTCTATGGTACAGTCTCCAACAAAGTCATTATATAGGGAGATGCAAAGCATTCACTTCCAAAGGACTCCAAAATGCTGCTATTTCCTCTAGGACCAGGTCAATACAACCCTTCTGGTTTGAAAGTTGTTCTAGAACTAAATTGTCTTGAAAACCACCTGTCAGAACAGCATTGCCCAGGAGGGAAATATAACATTTCAGAGTCCTTCTGAATGTTCCATTTAGGGAACAGGATACTGAGATTACTTTTAATAAGTAAATTTAATAACATAAAAACATTCTTACCTCTACATTTACTGGATGTGCTTTTAACAACCTGCTCAATTTTTCTTAGGTTTACGTGACTCCTCTTTTTCATCGATCTGGTGCAAGAATCCTGCTATTTCTTCATTGATTCATTTGAATCCTAAAATGACACAGAAGACCCATCAGTTACATAATGGGCTGGTCTGCCTGCAGAAGAATAAGCAGGTACCCCCAGCTGATGTATCAGACAAAGACTGGCTAATACAGTAAGATCAACAGTATCGCTCTGATGGGGAAAAAAGCTTTAGTCATCATATACATCAGCTCTAAAAGTACATTAGAGGAGGGAGTATTCCCAACCATAACTGCAATTTCCTTATTTCAAAGTTTCCCCCCTATTTGCTAATCTAGCCTTCACAAAGGAAATTATTTTCCAAAGCACCAGAGGGCAGGACAAGAAACAATGGTTGGAAGCTAATCAGAGAGAAGCAACCTGGAATTAAGGAGAAACTTCCTAACAGCGAGGACAATTAACCAGTGGAACAGCGTGCCTCCAGAAATCGTGGGCACTCTATCACTGGATGTTTTTAAGAAGACTCCAGTCACTTATCTGAAATGATACAGGTTTTCCTGCTTGAGCAGGGGGCTGGATTAGGACCTCGAAGGTCTCTTCCAGCTCATTCTATTCTAAAATGACATGTAAACAACAATTTACAGGTATTTTAAATTATTTAATTAAAATGGTTATCCACCAATGCATTATGTTTTCCAGATTGCTTTTGAAAAGAATTCCTATGGAAATTTCAGCAACCCAAAATGTAAAAATTAGCATCTATAAAGTACTTTTTAAAAACTCTGCTTACAAAAATGAATCAGCTAATATGCAAGGCAATCAAACAAGCTTTAATCAGGATTTACAAAAGGAGATAAAAACAGGAACAACATTGTGTCCTCAATAGAAAATGCTTTGTGGTGCTGCTTAAAAGCATAAAGCTTGGCAGGGAATGCCTCAGTGCCATCCACCCACTGAATGGAATGGTTTAGAGCCACTCTTCACATCAGCGTTTCACAACCTTGGCAACTTCAATTCCCAAAAATTCCTCCGCCAGCTTTACCAAGAAAACTGCAGGGATACATATAGGCAGTGGCCAGGAGTCAAAAACCTCTATATGGATCATTCACCCTTCACTGTTGTAAGTTGGTAACATGTTTCTGCATCCAACTAAAAATAATAAGCACCTGAAACTCACATGTCCCTTTTTTAAAAAAAAATGTTCCGCCACAGAACTGATGATGGCACTTTAGGTGATTCCACATCTTTCAACTTGGGCAGTTTTGCAAGAGCTTCCTCCATACATCCTTCGCTGAATTTTTCCCTTGCCTAAAACACAAAAAAGATCCAAGATAGAAACATTATTCCACATCCTTAACAAAAGCAAAGTGTTATCAATTCCCAGCCAGCCCCCTTCTTACTCCCCGCGGTACAATCGGTGCAGTCAGACAAATTCTGGCTAACAAGCAAAGAGTTCAACACTTCCGCTCTGATGGGGAAAAAAGTCTTAAGTCATCATGAGCACCAAATTAAACCTTCAAGCGCCAAGATCGCATCCTGGGAAGGAGAGTACCGTGAGAGAAGAATGCAGGGGGAAGACTCCTAAATACGTTTTGCATAATCTTAAGGGAAAGTAAACCGGGATAATTTAGGGAGAAAAAAAAGAAAAGGGGAGAGGAGAAATGGGTGAGGCAGCTAAAACCTCGCGAACAACGAAGAACGTGGCAGATGGCGACGGATTGCCAAACTCCACCGTCCACAGACAACCCACCTACTTACCTTTGAGAAAGTCTCCAAAAAGAACGCGTGCGTCTGCGTCGCGTCCTTATATACACTAGAGCAGCTTGGTGCGCATGTCTGTCCAAGGTATTCTGGGAAATGTAGTTTTTCAAAGGCCCTGGTGTAAGTATGTTAATACTTCCGTGCTTTTCTTTGAGAGGTAGGTAGCTGGTGTTATGGGGACCAATCACACTTGAGGATTTAAATTTTAGAGCACCGCTTTAGCTTTGCAACTTTGATTTGTAGACCCTGAACGTAATACTACGTGGTTTAATCACGGTGAAATACCGCATTGATCGTTAGAATGGCAACGGGCAATGATCCTTTATTCCGATGGCAAACGCGCAAACACGTTTAGAGAAAACGTGGCAAATATGTAAGGATTTATTCTGCATAAGACTAGTAGTAAGCTCAGTCGCGTTCGCTTACTGAAGAATATTTCTCGAAGTTCAATAGAAAACATACCTTTAGTAAGGAACACAGACTTTATGGGTTATCATATCGTTTATTGTGAGGGTTATCCTATTTTTGCACAGTCAAAAAGAAAATATAATAGAGAAAGTCGTTAAATAAATTCAAGGGCAATACGTTTAATGGGCTGTGAGACCAGTGTAAATCTTGTTTGCTTGTCAGAGCAACCACAATCCTGCTATTGCATACCGAAGTACTCATAAAAAATTAAAATCTTATAATACATAAGCATCTTTCTTTTAAAAAACAACCAAACACTGCTGTGTGAAGTTATCTGTTCTGTTCTACATTTTAAGAAAGGTAATGCAAAATAGCGCTGCCTTAAGTCCCCAGAAAAAGTTGAATGGGAAACATTCAAAGAAGTTGGGTAGGAAGCAGCATCCATTGACATGAATGATTAAGGCAGCGTTTCTGAACTCTGGGGTTGACTAGAGAATTCTGGGAATTGGAGTTTGCATGTTAAAGTTGCTGAGATTTGAGAAATACTGGGTTAAAATTGTTGGACCAGGATGGGAGACCCAGGTTCTAGTCTACCCTAAGCAACAGATCTTTGCTTAGAACAGTGGTTCTCAACCTGTGGGTCGCGACCCTTTTGGGGGTCGAATGACCCTTTCACAGGGGTCGCCTAAGACCATCGGAAAACACATATTTTCAATGGTTTTAGGAATAATTTTATGGTTGGGGGTCACCACCACATGAAGAACTGTATTAAAGGGTCCTGGCATTAGGAAGGTTGAGAACCACTCGCTTAGAAGATCCTGCAAGGAATTGTACAGGTGTTTTAACAATTTTAAAAAATGTTCCTTAGGGTTATTGTGCTAGCAAATCTGATTGAATTCATGAAGCTCTTAGGCATGAACTGAAAGCCAGAAGAATCAGTGATGCTGGGACTCTCATACTATGTCTTTATTAAATGCAAAATGCTTCATGGTTATGGAAGCAGGTAATAACGTTACACTTTCATATTTGCAGATCCCAACCAATATAGATTGTACTGTCCTCCCAATAACGCATGAGTGTCAAATTCACCGCACGTTGCCGTCATGTGACGTTTCACATTTTTCCCCTTCACAGAGCTGGGGTGGGCATGGCCTGCGTGTGATGCATCCGGCCTGCAGGCTGCCAGTTTGACACCCCCGCAATAGGGCATCTTCCAGATGTGTTGGATTGTAGTGTATCTTACTTAACTAGAGACATGGAAGTGCAGCTGAAGATCTCCTTTGTAGCAAAGATCCAAAACATTAATCCAATACCAATATCCAATAGTAGTAGATAAAACTGAGAGACTAAAAGGAGACCCAAATTCAAGTCTACCCTCATGAATGGAGGTACTGGATGACTTTGAGCCTTTATCAGCCCATTCTTTTCACAGGATTATTTTTGTGAATAGATGTTTGGAACATGGACAACTATGGATGGGAAGGAAAGAAGGAAGGAAGAAAAGAAAGAAGGAAGGAAGGAAGTCAGTTAGTCTTAACATGGATTCAGATTACCTAATTCAGGGGTTCCCAACCTTTTCTATACCCCTAGAACGCTTCTGATATATTCTTACAAAAGTAAATAAAATTTGAACTTCTAAACCCAAGTTTTCACCCCTCCCCTGAAATATTGTCTTGCTCCCCCAGGGTTGGGAACCCCTGATTTAGGTAATTCAACCATTGCATCCATTTTGCTTGGAAAGGGTTTGAGAAAAGCAAAGTAATTACATATGTGGTATCTAGTCTTTCAACTATCTCTGTGAATAAAAGGATGGCACCAAGCAAGGATATGCCAATTTATCGTAATTAACTTAGATTGCTCCCACTGATCTCTATCTGAACTATTTAATACTCCAAGGGGAATGTATGCTTTGTTAGCATGGTTTACGGTAGGGCTTCTCTTACTTTATAGTAACTCTACTTAGGTTCAACAGATTACATGGTTATTGCAGTTAGTCATAGTTTCCAGCTGGGCCAGTTGTTGCAAAATATTAGCCTAAAATTTGATTGAAGACAATGGACTTCATTTGGAAGGGGCAGGTGGTCTGAACAGGAAGGACTTGTCTAGATAAAGGCCCAAGGGGTTGTTTTCTTCAGGGAACATTGCACAATTCCAGTTTCAGTAAAGTCACCTTATTAATTATATTTAATTTTAACAAAAACATGTAACATTTAATTTTTGTCCTGGCTTCAGCCACTGTTTGGCATGCTGCTTCTTGTTCATCCCCAATCTTAGATCAGTCTAAGATGATCCCAAGTAAGCAACAATCTGGGCTTCCACTCCTTTCATATTTTGGAAGGAGATTCCTGTTTACCTCTTTAAGAGTTAGAATGTATTTTTAGAAAAGTATGTATGTATTGTGTGTGTATACGCTATGCTTAGTATTTACAAAGGTATATATAATTTTGAATAAATTGTTTAATAACTTCACAACCAGTTATGATGTATTAGTTTTAAATTTTCACTCATTATGTTACATTATTCAAAACCTGCCACAGTTAAAAAAGAAACTTTTTATCGACATTTAATAAAAAAACAATTTCTCCTCTTGTTTAGTATTTACCATTTATTGGACAAACACTACGTTTTACTTACATTCCATGGGGAGAAAAAATTCCAGCGTAAACAATGAACTGAAGCAGTACTTAACTTGCAATGCTATCGTGCTTTACCTGGACCATATGCAAAAACTTTATTGCCCACATTGCTGTGGGCAATAAACACAACATCAAAAGCAACACAGTTTATATATAAACATAGGTAATTTTTTTCAGCCCTACATGGAGATGTAATTAAACAGTATAAAGCACTCAGGAAAATCAATCTGCAGCTTTATATGCACTACATTGAGATCATATCCTGTACTGTACTGAGTTGGTGTGCCTTTATATACAGACACACACACACATTTTTTAAAAAACAAAGATAAGCGACCATTTAAGCTTCTGTTGCATTCAGGTTTCCCTCCCTCTTCCCTAACCCATCAAAATATTCTAGAAATCAAAGTGATCAAATGAAGTTTAAAATTCTAAAATGTATAATTATTTCTTCAACTGTCTGAGATTTAGGGCGAGGTTCACCTTACTGACTTTTTGATAATCAAATGGTAGGCACACCTTTTCCAGTGAATTTTTTTTTTTACAATTTCATTAAAAAAAAAAAAAACTTAACACATACATGGATATGATCTTCCCAAGTTAGTTCATAGATAAGTGTGTCAGACAATCAAGTTTCTAAACTGTGCTATAGTTCTAGGTACAATTAAGAAACTTTTAAATGAAAAATTTATAGTGTCATTCAAAACAATGCAATGAAACTAAAAATTTTATCACTGTTTGAAAAGCAACGGTTATGATTTAGACACTACAGTGGGTTGTAACAACTGTAGCACTCTAAAACAGTTAGGTTACATTATTAGGAAGCATTTGATTTTCTCTGGTGCTTTCAGGTTTGGGTCCAGTCAAGCCTGTTTAGGCAGTGGTGTCCAGTGTTTGTCCCAAAGTGTTTGAGCTAGCCGGTTTGAGGAGAGGGTCACTTTCCATTTCTTGCTTCACGCATCTGGAGAAAAAAAAATACCTTTTTTAGAAGAGAGCCATGTTTTGAACGATGGAAGATTCAGTTCTTCAAAAGTTGATGGTAAGACCCACCTTTTCTCTCAGACAGCAAATTACTGCTATATGTTTGTCCATTTGCTTTACGTGCACTGCCAACAATACAATTAAGTAACATCCGATAAGCAAAACCTACTCCAATAGAGCAATATAATCTACTTCATCCAAAGGGGGTACCTAATTAACATGAACAAAACCTTCAGGGAAAAATGAATGGCAGAATATTTTGCTGTAATCCAAAGAAAGATGATCACAGCAGTGACACTGTTTTAATTGGTGGGTTGTACGTTGTATTCAATGAGATGGGTGAGCATGTCAATTGCTTAAATAAATAAATAATGCTGACGTATAATTTGGGACATATATTTATTTATTTATTTAAAATATTTACATAGCCGCCCATCTTCCAACTAATTCAGGGCAGCTTCCAATCAAAGTTAAAACATATAAAACTATATTAAAACAATAAAATTAAACAGATACACATTTCTTATATTCAACCTCCATTATTTGTGACTTTTCACATAAATACACTAAGGCAAATATTTATACAAAAATTTCCTAAAATAGTAAATAAAAATCAACAGCCCAGATTTTGCAGGATTATGGGAAATATTTTCACTCACACAGACATTGGTCCATTTCCTGTTCTTGGCATCTCTGTACTTTGTTGGTCCAACTCAGACAGCAACTTTAAGATGTTTAATGCAGCCTGGAATAGGGAAAGTGGCCCGTTCAAATTAGTTATATAAGAAGAGCAACTATTACCATATTTGATTAGAATTTTATTAGACAATGATACTGGATTTGCTGGGAATCAAATAAAAATAGTTCCTCTGATGATACAGAATTAGCACATCCTTAAGTTTTCCCACTGAAAGTTGGGAAAGTACATTCTTGTGGACAAATCTATTGTAGTTTAAATTGTCCAATACTAACTTTTCTCTGCAGACATCTTTCTTAGAAGCAGGATAAATAAA